TTCTAAAATAGCCTAAATAAATATCACCTAATTATTAATTACTCTCTCAAATGTAAAATCAAGAAATAATAATTAAGCCGGGCACTTAATAGATTAAATATATGAATACAAGAAAAATTAGCCTAATCACTTTAGAAGCAATCAATCAACTATGGGCAATCAATTGTGTACATACGATAACAATAAAACTGAATTCAAAAAATTAGCCTAAACGATGCTAGGCTTGCAAAAATACATAGAAAATCTACATTTTAAAATTATTCTCTTAAATTCTAAGGTGCTCTTATCCTCTATTTTATAAATTAGTAGTTAATATTAAGAAAATTATTTATAAGAATTCTACATATGAACGGATTACCAATTAATTGAAGGAGCTATATTAATGGAAATTTAAAATCAACAGAAAATGGGGTGATTTGGAGGTGATCTGATTTAAGAAAATATTTTTGGTTATTCTGATCTATTTAAAATTTTTCTTTCATGATTATTTTAAATCCCATAAAATTTGCTACAAGATAGGCTTTATGCCATTTAAAAAATTTTCATCGAGAAAAATACCGAAGATTTTCTAGTTGCTAAATTTATGCCTGATTTAGCACATTTTTCACTAATTTAAAAGGTTTCATCCTGTATCTCGATGAAAAATTTTTTAAAGAATTGGCATTAAGCCTATATAGGTCTAATTTAATGGGCTTTAATCTGAAAATGAAAGAATTTTATCCTGGACAGATGGACCGCAATATATTTTAAAATCAGATAACCCCCAGATCACCCCATTTTCCGTTGATTTTGGATCTCAAAATCACGCTGAAGGGAGTGAATTAGAAATCAGATTTTTTTGTTGTGAGCAAAGGCGCCTAGCAATAATTACGCTGAAGTCGCAAGTTCAAATCCGGCACGGTTACTGAACTTTTGCTAAACTCCTATATTTATTTATGATTAAAATTGAAAAAGAAGCATTTTATATAGATGTAGTTTTATTATAAAGAACTATTTACAAGAATAGGAAATGAGTTAATCATCGGATCGATGTATTTTTATATTAGCAAAAACGTGAAAAAATATGTAATTTAACCATGTAAAAGTATAACATTTAAAATCATATTTTTTAATAAATCTTGTAAACTTTATTTAGAGTAAAGCGCGAGCTATACCTATTTCTCTTCTTTAGCTAGTGCAAAAGGTTATTCGGCGGCTGGGAGCGAAGCAGCATCTTCAGTAGACCGGATTGGTTTGTTAGTAATTAAAACACACCACCTACTGCAAATCCTTAAGAATATGCTTTCAATAGTAAACGTTTTAAATGCCTTAGCCCAACTAGATTTTCTTTTTACCTAAAATGACATTTCTTTAATTTTTTAGAAATTTATTTAGAAATCTATTTATAAACATAAAAACGGTATCCGGGATTATCTCACATATTTGTCCTATTCCCAGTTGGAACTTTTACTTTAACTCTTAGTAATTAAAAAATCAGGACTAAGGTTTGCATATTTTGGAAAATCACGGATATCCAATTTAGCATCCAATATCCAAACCAAAATATAGAGTATCCTAATCGACTGCACTGGCTCCGACCTTTTTAAAATTGACGGCTCTGGAGATTTTCCGATCCGCTCCATGTTGGCTCAGAGTGAAAAAGCAATGATTAATATTTCATTGTTGGTTCTGGGTTGAATAAAAGGATATCGGAGGATTTGAGTATATTATGCGGAATGTTCGGTTGATTCTGAGAATATGCAGGGATTGAATAGGATATCGGTAGCTAAATTTTTAAGAATTTTGGAAGCCAATAAAGCCGGATTTCTTAAACTTTAGCAGCAAAAAAATCAATCGAAAATATCAGAAAATTTTGTAAATCGAAAAAAACCCCTTGAAAATCGAAATTCTGAAACATCTCTAGGTAATATTGAACCTGACAAACCCCATTTTCCCCCAAGTTTTTTCCTACATATATTTGCAGATTGTCAGACTTCTTTCTTCTAAATTCCTTGCTTCCATCCAATGGGGAATAATAATTAATAATTTTTGATTCCGATCATTCTGACCATTCTTTAGATATATAGAAAAAAACTTGGAGAGGAAAAAATGGGGTCTATCAGGTTCAATATTACCCAGCTCCACTTAAAAAAATCCTTTTTAATTATTTTCCTCTTTTTCTTCTTCTCCTTTTTCTAATTCAATTAATTTTTTAACACCCTCATACATTTGTCTAACAGCCTCAAATTCATTAATTCCTAAACGTTTTTTATTTGAAATGTCAAAAACATTGTTTTCTTCTTCGGTTTCTGTATGTTCTCCATTAATTCCTCTAATTTGTAATTTTAATTCTTCACAAATTTTTTTAAAATTTTCTTTCAAACTAATTTTTGGTAATTTAATATGTACAGAAGCACGTATTGTTGTTCCCAAATTTGAAGGGCAATAGGTTAACCAACCAAGACGTTCATCACGCGAAAAAGTTATCTTTATCATAAGAGAAAAGTTGCAAGAGTAAATGTTGAGAGGGAGGGTGAGAGGAATGGAGTTTTAAATAAGTATAAAATATGTAGGTCTTGTCAAGTTTATCCGACCAAACAGATTTATATACTTCTAGTCACGTTTTATACGTACATTCTGTGAAGATAAGAACCATTTCTACATGTTAGAAAGAAATGGCACGTAACGTTTGTGTACTATACAAGATGTTGAGCAGAACTTTCTGTTCAGACAGTTTTTGAGCACTAAAATGAACAACCGGGTACTTATCGGTATTGAATGGCCGCATAAACTTCTGATTGGCCGGATGAATTTTTACGTGGACGTATATAAAGGTGCGATTGTATGAATAAACTGTTCAAAAGCTAAATATATACAGATATAAAAGATCCGACTTGATTTTCAATAAGTTTATTTTTTTCGATGAGATTTTAAAGATATGTATATTAATTAAAGCCGTAATTGATATATACACCCTTGGAACTAATAAATTCTTTTAAGAGTATCCTTTTTCTCACTCTATTTAACAAATATGTATATACCTGGAACTTGGCCCCCCTAAAACCCTCCATATGTTTGCCTACAGAAACACAGCACGCCAATTGGAGCGTGCTGGCGAGGGCCTTTCCATTTGGGGTATTTAGTAAGACTTAAGTCCGGGATACCTTTCACCTTAATCGGACAGGCTCTGAGGGTTGATCAAGTCCTCAGGCTTGCCGAAGCATAGTTGTTACCGCTAAGTTTTACAAGCGCATTTATTCATATAGGAAAACATTACATTAATAAGGAAATAATATAAGTGTTAGGCCTAACTCTATCTAATGGGAAGAAAGGAAATCGTTATATAATGAACATAATGGGCGGATAAATATTATAAACATTACAAATATGTTTACTGGGAAAATAACATTAACGGAAGTGTCAAGCAAAGTGCTCTTTAGCCTTTGGGTCTAGAGTCCACCTTACACCTCCAACCCCAGGGAAGACCGTCCCTGGTCTTAAATTGCCTTTTGCCAAAATTTCTAAAATTGCCAAAATTTTCATTTATTTAAAATTTTCTGACTGGCTTTCCACTTTTTATTAGCTCTTATCACCTCTTTTCTAGCAGATGATCATCCTTGATCCTAAAATTTATCTTACAGACTGGTTTTTGCCGAGGCCTCCAGTCTGTCTTTTCATTTCTACTTTCTGAAATATTTCTCACAAACTGGTTTATACCGAAGTCCCCAGTTTGTTTTATTTTTAAGGCATTTCTTCTGCTTTTATTTGAATAGCGCTGATTTTATGGATAGCCAGTCATTTACATTTACTTTTTGGCAACTCAGCAATATTTGACTCTGTAAAATATTTTGCTTTTTTTTTTGCTTTAGAGCACTTTGAATCGAGGGCATTTGGTCTAGCTAATTAATAGTTAAAAATTTCACAATAATAAAAAAACATTCGGGCATACCTAGGTATATTGAAAAATAACAGTGTAATTTCTTGAGGGATGATTTGATAATGTGAGGATTGGTAGGAATAATAATTGCTTTAAATTTATGCATAAATATTATGAAAGATAAGGATTTTATCCCGTTTTTTCATCGTATTTATACAGATTTAAATCAGCTATTAAATCCATGACTTAATTTTGTTATAAAAGTTGCTAGATATTAGAAAGTAACTATTAAAAATAAAGATATTACCTCAGGTGAGATGAATATCTTGTTTTTGAAAGATTATTTTCTAGTATCAATGCAATTTTTATATCCTATTGGGGATTATTAAAATTAATAATTTAAGTTTATATGAAGTCATATAGGTAGGTAAAGCTCAAGTACTAAATAAATTGTGAATAAAAGAATGCGTTAAAAGACTTAAAAATTTCAAACAAAAATTCGTCTGTATTGCCTAGGCCAAAGTCGTCAAATTCTCCAGTCCACCAATTTTGATTTGCCACCAAATGGACCGCATTGATATGAAAAAGGAATATTAGATTTTGTTTTGTGTATTTTTAATAAACTTAAACCACAACTTTACCCAATAATACAAAAAATTACGCATGTTCTTTGAGATGTTGAAACTTATTGCAATTTTTGTCTGGTCTGCAGGGTCCATATTCTAGGAACATACATTATGTTTGTGTTCATTGATATGTTGTCACCTTGAAAATTAAATGTTAGCATTCTTCATTAATTTTTATTAAGATTGTAATTTAAACTTATCACTTTCATTACAGTTTCATACCATTATTCTTTAACTTAATACGAAGGTATTCAAAATTGCCGAAGCCTAAAATAAAGAATTGACTGAAGTACATTAATAATTTCCATCCATTTTCAATTCATGAATTCGTTCAGATAGGTTATTAATCATTTCTTTCATTTGTTCTATTTCATTTTTCAACTCCTCAATGCAATCATATTCCTTGTATTCATCGTCCTTATTTTAATTACATGTTGTTCATAATCATATTGCTCATGTTCAGAGGTAAATTTAGGTGTACTTGCCGAAGCGTTGTTTTCATAAGTATATTGCTGCGTATTATTTGAAGTACTTTGTATCCAACTTGATTCCTTTCCTTGTATTAATTGTATATTTTCTTCTTTAGTTTCTGTACTCCTCAAATTTATTTCTAATTCTTGAACATACGTTGCGAGTTTGTCAAAACATTTCCTTCCAATCAATGGAGCAACTAATTGTAAGGACCTTTGGTATTCCGGCCTGACCTTCTCAATAAAACATCTACAGAGAGTTTCTTCCTTTACTTCTTTTGTGACATCCGAAGATGTTGAATTAACAAGCGGAATTAATCTCTTAATGAATTCACCTACTGATTCCCCTTTTCTTTGATAACATGAAGCTAATTTCCTATATGCTAATTCACGAATATATGGGCTATCTAATTTAATTCTAAGATTTATTAAGACATTTTGCAGAGTATTTTTCTCCGTTGGCGCTAAATTTTCAAAAATATTTCTTGCTGTCTTACCTAGGTAAAGTTTTAATCTATTTATTTTAGCAACCTCAGTCCAATTAGTACCAAATACCTCTACATAGTCCTTAAACCTTATTGCCCATTCATCAAAAGCCGATGCATCTTCGCCATCAAAAATTTGTAGTTGAGTACCACCTGATTCAATTTCAGTCAAAATATTTAAATGAGAATTCTTGGTGCTGTTTTCAGACATTTTTGTTTGTAGATGTGTTCTTGCCGAAGCGTTACGTATTTCAGTATCCAACTCTTTTTGTGGAAGTTCTTTCAAGTTCTGTTTGTCACAAAATACAAAGTAGATAGGATCAAAGACGATAAAAAGATGTGTAGTTATTTGAAAGTCTCAGAAAAATTAGATTATGTCTAGATTATTATTTGTGAAAATTTGAAAAATTTTTTGTTTAATCTTAAATACCTCTACCAAGGTTCTGACTTGCTAAAAATGAACAGGTACTACAAGCGCAAAATTAAAAATAAATAGATCGATGCAGGTCAGAAGCACAGGTACCAATAAGATTTTGTCTCGCCGAAGCAAAAATATCTGTTGTCCAAGATTCAGTCTTGCCAAAGCAATTAATATGTTTTGTCCAGACAAGCCAATAAAATTGATGAATTTGTTGTTTGATGAATATTTATTTGTAGAAAGTAAAGATTTTTTCTTAATTATTTAAATAAAATACTAAAATAATATTTAAAATAAAAGTGAAATTTGTTATACCTAGATAATAAATATACAAATATTAATTCAAAATATAAATAAAGGAAAAATAGTATTATCTGGAAAATGATAATTTAATAAAGATAACTTCTACTTTACAAAAAATAAATATAATTTAAGAGATAACACATTAACGCTTCTCTTTTGTTTTACACAAAAAAATTTCCCAAGCTGTTTTTAAGAGAGAAAAAAAAATTGAAGAGAGAAAAAATTGAAGAAAATTGAAGAGAGAATATAAGCGGATGATAGAAGAGAGGCTAAGGTTGATTTAAGTTTAAAAAAAGTTCGGACTTGCCTAGGCAATCTAAAAAAAATTTTTTTTTTAATTTAATAATTAATGTGTAATAGCTGGGAAGTAATTTTTGTAGGAAAGAAAAATGAAAGAAATTTATCTATAAAAAAATAATTGGTTGTGCGCAATTGACTTTTGCGTTTTAAATCTGAAATTTTAGACCTAAAAAATATTTTTATACTTAGGTAATTCCCTTTTTTTAATATCTTGACTTCCCGAAGGAAAAATTATTTTTATAAATATTACTTATTAGAAAAAAATTTGACAGTTGAATTTTCTATACTTCAGTTAAAAAAAATTTTCTTTTCCCATTTCAAATTGTATCATTCTATTAACTTTTCATAAAAATTTAATCATTTTTAATTTTGCATGATATTCAGAAAAGAGAAAAAAATTTCTTTTTAAAATTGTAAATTTTATAATTAATCCAAGTCGAATATTGGTACTTAAAAATATTAATTTTATTATTTGTATATACCTCAAAGAAGGAAAATGTACAAGAGATTTCCTTGCCTAGGCATATCAGAATTTAAAAAAATCCTTTTTGTTTTTTGCTTCAAATGTTTGAATTTGTAATATATTTTGCCTGCCATAAAGTTAAGTAAATGGGATCATAGCAGTAAGAAGCACAGATAACTCCACTCGCAAAATTTTTCTTGCCAAAGCAATGTGTAAGAGTGCACAGATACCATAAGATCAGATCACTAAAAATCTCTAAAAATTAGATTGTGTTATAAATTATTATTTTTTAAAATTTGATAAACTTTTTTTTAAATTTAAACTACCTCCCCAAAATTCAGTGCCAAAGCAGAGTATATTTGTTTTATGCAAAAAAAATAAGTTTCTCAAGCTGCATTTATTAATGAAAGAAAAGAAAAGGTCGAAGAAGAAGAAAGAAGAGAGGATAATGGTGATCAAAGTTTAAGAAAAAATGCGGTGCGAACTTGCCTAGGCAAAATAAAATCTCTCTTCAATTATTTTTGTAATAATTGAGTAAAAAATTTGTAGGAAGGAAACATGAGGGAAATTTTTCTAAAAATTATTAATTTCAGAAACAATTAAGGAATTAATCTTAATAATTAAAGAATTAGTTTTCCCTAGGGAATAAAGAATATTTATAAAGATAAAATGGAATGTATTTTTAAATAAAATTAGCTTAAAATTATTTACTTTTCCAAAAAGTACCGAAATTTTCAATTATTTTTTTTTATGACCGAAAAAATTCATACTTATCTTTAACTACCTCAAAATCCAAGTCTTGTAGTGGTATTTTGCAAGATTAATTTGTACTTTTCCAGGGTAAATAGATTAATGTAGTTAAGAAGGATGCGTAGGTACCAAAGTTCTTTCTTGCCAAAGCAAATTGTGATGATGCATCGATACCAGAACGTAGATGTAGATCCCATAATTTCCAATAAAATTTTGACACACATCACATACCTGAAAATCTCTAAAAAATTAGTTTGTGGAAATTATTATTTGAAAATTTGTAACTTTTTTTAAATTTTAACTACCTTTACCATAATTCAGTCACGCCAAAGCAGAGTATAATAATTCACAGATACTAAAAGTGTAGATTCTTGAAAAACTTTTAAACTGCTCTGCTTTCTAAAAAAATGCTGCCTTGCCTAAGCAAAAATATTGTGTCCAAATATCAAAAATTGAATTTGTTGTTTTTTGTATATTTGATTGTTGAAAATTAAATTCTTATTCTTGAATATTTAATAAAAATACTAAGAAATATTTTAAAAGTAAAAAAAATATGGTCGGAAATACCTAGGTAATAAAATCTAATAAATAAAAAATATAAATAAAGGTAAGATCGTATTAATTTAAAAAAACTATATTTCCAATAAAAATAATATAAGTTAGAAAGAATTACTAATATGTATGAGATGACACATTAACACTTTTCTTTTAGTGTAAAATAGGAAAAAAAATTTCCAAAGCTATTTTTTAAATGAAGCTTAAAAAAGAAAGAGAGCGCGAAAAACAAGAGATTGAAGTTTGAAGAATGTTGAATTGCCTAGGCAGGAAGGAAAAAAAAGTTGTGCACTTTTTTGTGTAATAGCTGAGAAAGCGCTTTTTTGAAAAATAATTAATGTTGATTTTACATAAAACTATTGGTTGTGCGCCATCGACTTTTGCATTTTCCTTTTGGATTTTTAAAGACATACAAATTACGAATATTCTATAGTTGGGTAATTTCAATTTTTCATTCTGTCTTCCCGAAGGAAAAATTACCTTTATAAAAATTACTTATTTAAAAATAGACAAATCCTTAAAAATAGAAATCAAAAAAAAAATTTATACCAATCTTAATTTTCTATACTTCGGTATCAGGGGTGAGCGCAAGAGACAATCTCAAAAAACGCAAGACGCAAAACGCAACGCAAGGCCAAAATTTAACGCAAATAACGCAAGACGCAAAACGCAAAACGCAAGAACGCAAAATTGAGAAAAAATTTTTTTAAATTAAGTATTAGCCATTTTTCAGTTAAAAATTGATGTATTACTATAAGTTAGCGAGTCATAATTAAGTTTGAGGTACAAGTAAGTTGGATGAGTAATGTTTTGGAGAGAGATAAAGGATTTAGAGGGATTATGAAGGATATCAGAGGATTTAGAACGATCAAGGTGGTTAACGAAGTGGCTGGGGATTACGCAGATTATCATGTAATTTGGAGCGATCAAGTAAATTTAAAAAGATCCCATGGGATTACTAAAGGATGTCGAGTGAGTTAGGGAGATAACGGAGGATAAAGGGCTATCAGTATTTATAAATTGAATCCGGGGATATCAGGTAATTTGGAGGATAACTTGAGATCTGAGCTCCAGATAATGAACCGATATTTTTTGAGCCGTTTCAAGATGTAAAATTGGTATTTAAATATTTAAATACCCTATTTTAGCGCCGCAGGCAAAAATTTTGAGAAGTTTGGAAAGCAGAAGCTAGATTTCTTCCAATTTTTGCCCTCAGATTAGAAGAACAACAGGGATTTGAGCATATAGTAGTTATCAGGGATTGAAGAGATATAGCAGGATATCCCTACAAACCCCCGATATCTTTTTAAATCAACCTTAATCGCAGTAAATCGACCGATAGTCTTCTATCACCTCATTTCCCCCGATATTTTCCACTTGGCCACTTTATCCCTCCTCCATTTTCTGCGCCGCAAGCGAAAATTTTAAGAATTTTGGAAGGCCAGAAAGCAAAATTTCTTCATTTTTTAGCGCCGCAGGCGAAAATTTTTAGAATTTTGGAAGGCCAATAAGCCAGATTTCTCTAATTTTGTCCTCAGATTGGGTATATTTTTTGCGTTAATTTCATCGAAAATAACGCAAGACGCAAAACGCAACGCAAGGCCAAAATTTAACGCAAATAACGCAAAACGCAAAACGCAATGCGCTCACCCCTGTTCGGTATTAAAAATTTATTTTTAAGCATTTGATTTTCCCGAAAGAATAATTCATTAAAAAGTTATCCTATTTAATTTGACCAATCTCATTTTTTTGGGAGGAGGGGACTTTCAACTGCAGGAAACACAAAGGATAGGGAAAAGGACAATAAGAGGGAATGAGACACGAATTTTCTTCCCAAAGGAAATTTTTTTACATCTTTCGCTTTTCTATTTAATACGTGTTTTTTCTTTAATTCATACGGGCTTACTTATATTTTCATTATCTGGGCATTTCTTATAATTTGGGATAATCTAGGCTTTACTAATTTATAAAATTTATTTTCTTAATATTCGGGCTTTCTATAATTCATTTTATTGTCTGGGCTTCTATAATTTATTTTCTTAACAATTGGGCTTTCTATAATTTATTTTTCTAAATATTGGGGCCTCCATTAACTTTAATGGGATTTACTTATACTTAAATCTATTTCATTAAATTATTAGCCCTTTTTTAATAAGCCCATTTAATTTAGCCCAATCTATTTTTTAGCCCATAATTTAGCCCTTTATTTTATTTGCCCTTATTTTTTAAATTAAGCCCATTATTTATTTTAACCTCCGGAGGACATTCTTGCTTGCCGAAGCAACCCGCGGGTGAGTTAGGCCATCGCATTCTACCCAGCTCTTAATCTTACCAGCCGCCCAGGCCAATGGAAAGTCGCAAAATGCGAACCATCCGGTGCTACCAGAAACACAGCACGCCAATTGGAGCGTGCTGGCGAGGGCCTTTCCATTTGGGGTATTTAGTAAGACTTAAGTCCGGGATACCTTTCACCTTAATCGGACAGGCTCTGAGGGTTGATCAAGTCCTCAGGCTTGCCGAAGCATAGTTGTTACCGCTAAGTTTTACAAGCGCATTTATTCATATAGGAAAACATTACATTAATAAGGAAATAATATAAGTGTTAGGCCTAACTCTATCTAATGGGAAGAAAGGAAATCGTTATATAATGAACATAATGGGCGGATAAATATTATAAACATTACAAATATGTTTACTGGGAAAATAACATTAACGGAAGTGTCAAGCAAAGTGCTCTTTAGCCTTTGGGTCTAGAGTCCACCTTACACTACCTTTTCTTCAATCATTTTGACTCCCAAAATTAATCTTTTAAAAACTTTTCCAACATTTCCACCTTTTTCCATAGAAATTAAGCGTAAATGGTCTTCTTCATTTACCCAAACCAAAAAAGTTTTTTTTAAATTCAAATAAATTCCTCTTCCAACAGGCCAATAATTTGTAGCTTTGGCTTCATTTAAAAATCTGTCCCCTTCTTTAAATAAAAAATGTTTTTTGATTAATTTATTTTTTGTTTTTTTATTTAATTTATTTAGTGAATAATATATTCCTTTTAATTGTTTGATTTTTTTTAATTTTTTAAAAATTTTTTTCATTTTTGTTTCTATTGAAGTATAATCATTTAATGACATTAATGGATTAAATGGATATTCTTCTAATGTTCGAGCACATCTAATTCGAGTAAAATTATATATTTGCCTTCTGGATCCAAATCTTTGAATTCTAAATAGTTTTTTAATTTGGATTATTTTACAATATTGACAATTAACCGTATTTACAATTCACCCAACTGACCGAAGGATAATTCTTGGAATGGACAACTCACATAATGTACAATTTAATGATTGACCGAAAGATAATTCACCGGATGGACAATTTATTGTATGTTAATTAACCCGAATGGACAATTCACCGATCGGACAATTCGCTAAAACTGTCAAATTTTACTTTTACGTCCTAAACCCCTACTGATATGAGATAATTTCTTAAATTTTTGGGTGGCTTTTTAATTAGATAGCCATTATGGGATGAAGTTACCTAAATCATATATTTATGTGGTAATTACCTGAAATGTTGTTTTCTCCAAAATCTGTCGGTGGATGTACTGCTTCTGGTCCAAAACCTTCGTGATAATCGTCAATAATTGGATTGAACAACTCGGCAAATTTATGATATGATTCTTGATCAGCTGCGTAAACACCAATACCAGAATCTGGATTAGCAACACCTAAATGATAAATAAAAAAGTTAAACGAATCTGCTATACGCTCCGATGAAATTAGGCAAAATTCAGCCTAGTTTACTTTTTAAAAATTTTGTTAAATATTTTAAACGATATCTAGCGGTAGGATCCTGGAAAATATTTTAGTTTTCGGATCCAATATAGGAGCCTAAAATTTCTGGATATCCGGTTTTTCGAATCCTCAAATTTAGTGTCAGCCAAAGATGTCAACGGTTACCCAAAAACCCGATGCACAAAACCCGGACTTTTTTAGACCCGAAACCCGACCCGAGAAAAATTCTAAAACCCGACCCGACTTTTTTCTCAACCAGGGATATCTCTCGTGTGTACCAGTCAACCAAGTTATTTCCTAGAATTAGTATGACAAATATCCCTTCCCCCTCCCTCAACCTTACCAAAACGAATAACATCAAATAAAGTTGCCCCAAGTTTTGTCTTTTTATATTTTAATTTTTCTTTTAAATTTTCAGTAAAATATTTTTTTAAAAGAGAATTAAAATTGTTATTTTCCTTAAGTTTTTTATATCCCTCTTCAATTAATTGTACAGTATTTTCGTCAGTCTCATTTGAAGAAGCCATTCGTTTCTTCAAATTTTTTGGGTAAAACAAATTGTTGAATGTTTCGTAGTTGTGCTTAGTGTCTGGAAAAAAGTTTTTTTACAATCGAATAATATTTAAAGAAAGTCGAAACTTAACAAATGAACCCATTTTGGGATCAAACCAGCAGGTCAAGACCATGGAGATCGAATGACTCAGAACCCATGAAGTCAAATTAACCAGATGATCAAATTTAAACCTCCGTTACTCGACCGCTAACTGAGTATTAGCCGATTTTAAAAAGCTATAATTTTTTGATGCTTGATCCAATACAAATGAATTTTATATCAATCGAAATCTCTCGATAAGCTCTATATTTTACCCAACGGTATGAATTAGGTCTGATCACTCATAAAATGTTACAAGTTGATAAGTGCAAGAAATTGTTGTTTTTCACTATAATTGGGGTATAACTTTTTTATGGATGGTCAGACCTTATCTATACAGTTTGGTAAAAGATAGAGCTTATCGAAAGCTTTCGAATGATATAAAATTCATTTGTACTGGATCAAACATCAAAAATTTATAGCTGTTTAAATTCCTATATGGAAAATTTTTGGTTGATTTTTCCTACTATAATTTTTCCACTTATTCTAAGATATCATCTTAAGCACAGAGCGGAACAACAGTCATGGTATCAAGATTCAAGACCAAGAGTCCCGAACGCCTCTACTAGTTAAAATAATAAAATATGTACAATTTTGAGGAATTCCAACAAAAAAATCATTTTCCCCAGCTAAATTAACAACTTTTAAAACATTGAAGAAAATTAGAAAATTAATAATAATTAACATTTTCTTAAAAAATAATTTGAAAGATGTGTTGTTCACACGTTATTTAATTTATTTAAATAATAGAAAATATTTTTTTAAAATTTACATCAGTCTTTGAAAATTTTAATTCGATGAATCTTTAAATTTTGAATTACCTTATAAAATTTAAATTATGAAAAAAAATTTTTCCCAGACTCATATTTCAAAATAAAAACCCAATTTTAAAAAATTAGGTTGGCCAAATTAAATTTTGACTGAAATTTATAATTTGGCAAATAAATAAGTTTTAAATTTCTATATGCAATTAGAACCTTTAAAAATTAAGGAGATTGTCAAAATTTGATTGTATCAGTCAAGCAGTCATTCCTCCTTACAAAATTAAAGTTGAATGTAAATCAGAATGTATATATCAATCTTGGAGAATTTTGAATTTTAAAAAGCGGAAAGCGAAAGTTGAAAAGCAAAAAATGCAAATTATGCTGAAGTCTGGAGCGGATCCAGCCGTATATACTTAATTTAGGAAGTTATCGAGCAAACTGTATATTTTAATTACATCATTATTATTTAATTTATTACATCAGTATGATAAAGTTATTTATTTTAAAATTTGACATTAAAATAAATTTCATAAAAAATAATTTTTGTTTAGTGCACATTTTATAAAAAAGTATGTCTATGAGAAATGTAATAACACATACATACATATTAGAGTTTCACCGGAAGTTCCGGTTCCGGTTCCGGTTCCGGAAAGTTCCGGTGTTTTTCTGGTTCCGGTTCCGGTTCCGGGAACCGGAACTCAAATTGGTTCCGGTTCCGGTTCCGGCTCCGGTTTACAAATCGGTTCCGGCCAAACCGGAACTTTTTTACACCCCTAACGATTAGTTTTTTAAAAAAATATGGGTTGGCCTTGCAATATTTCACCGGTTGTCCTTTCAAAATTCCAAAATTTTCGCCTGCGGCACCAGAAAACGAAGAAATCTAGCTCCTTGTCCACATAAATTCTCAAAATTTTCGCCTGCGGCGCTGAAAAAGGAAGAAATATGTATCCTTGGTTCACTTAAAATCCCAAAATTTTTGTAAGTTGGCTGGTATATCGGGGGATTTGGATGGATGAAGATGGATTTTGAATTACATTATGTGAGTTCAAGAGGTCAAAGGTAATATAGAGGGATTTGGGTGTGATGTCGAGGGATTGAGCTGTGCAAGGAGATACCAGGGATTGGATAGCTGGGGATTTGGCCTTCCAAAACTTGGAATTTCTCACTTGGTCTTCCTAAATTCGCAAAATTTTCGCCTGCGGCGCTAAAAAAGAAGGAAAAATATGGTATTATTTAAAATTCGCATGAATTAATGGAGATTTGGAGTGACATTTGGGGATTTCGATGTATCAATATTTATAATGGCATATCGGTGATTGATATCTAGGGATCTGGTGGGATTAAGGATAATTCGAAGAAATTCGGGGATCAAAGGATATCATGAAGTTGGTGAGGTATTTGGCATAGCAGGGGATTTGGATTGTTCGGTTAGGTTTTTATGTTCGTTTTCGGTTAACTGAAAGTTTCGGTTAGGTTATTCGGCTCGGTTTCGATTAACCGAAGAATTTGGCTTAATTTAATCGAAAAATTTGGCGAAACCGACACCACTACTTGAAAAACAAATTTTTTAAAATTTGCTAGCAAAATTTTTTAAAAGTTCCGGTTCCGGTTCCGGTTCCGGGCCGGAACTTAGAAAAGTTCCGGTTCCGGTTCCGGGAACCGGAACTTAAATTGGATCCGGTTCCGGTTCCGGTTCCGGTCAAAATTTCGGTTCCGGTGAAACACTAATACATATGTATTATTTCTTCTATAATAAAGTTTTTTTTCTAATAATTATTCTTCTCAAAAAAGCAATACACTGTTAACTAATTATACATACCCTTATTTCTTGGGTTTTTCAAATTGAAATTGGGATGTGACTTTCTAGTTTTTTGTGTATTAATTCTACAAGCTAAAGCCGTATATTATCACAAAAATTTTAAATTTAAAAATTTTTTTCAGACGTAAGGTCATTTTTTCTAATAATTAAAGTTGACAAATTATACGCACCACCTTCTAAAATTTTTATTTATCAATCAAAAAATTCACAAAAATTTATCAATTGAGGTATACATGGGGAGCTCAATCGTCAATTGAAATATACCGCGAGAAAATAGGTGTACATAAAAAAATAGAATAGAAAACATACATAGAGAGAAGGAAAAATGCTTAGCAAATTACATTTTGACGGAGAAATTTCAAGATTTTACTGTCATTTTGTTAATATTTTGGGGGTAAATTAATTAAGCAAATCAAGGAAAAAATTTGCCTTGATTCTTGATTTTGATTGGGTACCTTGACCAGATTCTTAAGTCAAGGAAAAATCAAGGTCACTTTGAAAAATGCCTTGATCTGAACTTTGGATCCAGGAAAATCAAGATTGGATCCATATCCAGCTCGCTCTCTAATATTTTCTAATTTTTCTACTAATATCGAAGTTTCATAATAATTATTATTCATGATAAAATTATTAGTTAGGTGAATCTTAGATATTAAATTTGTGTATAATTTAAGGCTTAAATTTCGAATAATCAACTAAAAAATACCTGTTTTCCCAAGTTTTTCAAAAATTTCTTAACAATTTCATTATTGGCAATTTCAATCAAAATTCTCGTTTTTAATTGAGAGCTAAATTTAGAGCAGTCATTTAGTTTAACGTTAAAAACTTTTTCGACAGGTTCTATTTCAATTTTACAAAACGAATCATTATTTTTATTGAAATAATGTTCAATTTTATTTCCCCTTTTTAAATTCATTATCAATACAAAACGTTCCTTTATTTGAATATTTTTTAAATAAATAAATTCTCTTTTTTCGTCCCAATCTTCTTTTATTTTTAATCCAACCTCAAACATTCTACCTTTAATTTTGATATTCAACAGAACAACCAAATATGTGAGAAGAGTTATAATAAATTTATTCATTATAAATTTTAATATTAATTAAAATTAACGGTATATAAGAAAAAAATAAAAGATATATAATCATCAAACTTTTCCTTCTTTAAATAGCTTTTATATAATTAATTCTTTTATCTATTTATTTTGAAATATAGTCGGCATTTAAAAATAAATATTTGCACTTCTTATATTTCTTGAAAAATAAAATATTTCAAAAAATTAAAACTAATCATATTAAACGAATCGATTAACAAAAAGTGCAAATAACTTTTTTTATCCCGCCGTCTGACAAAATAAATGAAAATAACATTTCAAAATATTTAAAGACATGAGATCTAATCATATGAATTTTCCATTAAATATAAAGTGCAAATATTTATTTTTAAATGTTTTATTAATTTCAAAATAAAGGCAGTCGTTAAATCAAGCAATGTTTTTCATAAAAATTTGACGCCTAGATAAATTAAGTGTTCTATTTATCTTTTAAATAAAAATGTACACAAAACTCCATGTAAAATAATTTTTTGAAACTTTTATTTTGACTATTTATACTATATTATGAATTACAAAATTCGGCATTTGAGCTGCATTATAAGCAACTGGAATGAGCTCCCAATTTATTATATAATATTAGTAAAAAAGTAACCACGTTCTCATGTTACCGGCCATGTTATAAATAATTTTCTAAATTTTAGATGATTAAATTTAATATAATACTAATATATTTCATTATAATTTTGAAAATTCAATGCACCGGGAAACTCAATCACGTTGAAGTGAAAATCAAAGATGATTGGGGACAAAAAAGAGAATTTGTTTATTTAAAAAATGTTGAAATAATAGATCGTTTTGTTTTAAAAGTGATTGAAAAACAAAATAATCAATATGCTAGCTATAAGAACAATATAGAAGGATATTTGCGTTCAATTGACTTAAATTTAGACAAAAATACTTTTATAGTTGAAATAAAAGATAATCCAAAATATATTCCAACTGTTCAATTAAAAAAGAAAATTTTGATTGAAGTTACTAATAATGAAATAATTCAAAATTTTCTGCCTGTGTTTGAAAAAATGGTATATTTAGATTAATAGATTCTCCATTCCATAGTGAAACGGCAGGGTAATAGAAATTGGGGCTATAACCACTCTAATTTGTGTTAAATTTAAGGCACTCCGAAATAATAATTTTATTGAAAATAATAATTATTATGAAATTTCTATATTGTACAAGAATGAAAAAAATAATTATTTTAACTTAATTGAAGAAAATATAGAAGAATACAAAGACAAACTTTTATCAAGTTATTGGACGGAAATTAATTTAATCGGATATAAAATTAAATTGTTAGCAAAACAAAAATTTGAATATCC